ACATGGTATGAATATCGTGAAAACATTGATGTCTTTGATTCCCCCTCGAGAAATCTGTCAGGTGGGGGAACCATAACAGGATCAAGTGTAGAAGCCGGAATATGAACATGTGCATGGGACCGAGCATAAGCAGGAGGCCTTTCATGACACCACAAATAACTTTGGGATGACGGTACCTACTCATTGTCCCTTAACATTTCAAAACTTCTTGATTGCTTCAAATTGTGTATGTTATGCTCTTGGCGAAATATCTTTTTCTTTATGTACGAGTGTATGTATGTTGCGATACTCTACCGTGCCTATATCTTTCTTGTTCACCAATCATTTATCTATAGTTTAAAACATTCTAAATCAATAATAATTTCATTATTTTATGGCAAAACTAAAATATTATTGAAAATTTTCATCAACATATTTTATAAATCAATAATATTTCATTTTTCAAATGATTTCCCAAGTTATTTTTGAATGCACACAGATAACAAAACACAAAAACCTTTAATCTCACTCTCTGAAGAAACTACTCAAATAATAAATATATTGTAAAACATATTTTATAATTCATTTGATAATTTGCAAAATATTGTATCTAATAACACTTGATTTAGAAGAAAAATCAAATAAAATTGTATGATATTAGAATTTTTGAGTGATTTTTTGAATAAGAGATACCAAAGTTGACTCATGTGATATAAAATTAACACTCCATAAATTTGCAAACAATAGTGATATGTGGGCACCTCTCAAATGACACCTCAAGCGACACCGTATGTACGAATGGATATATTTGTAGTAAAATAAATATTTAAAACAAAAAATAAGTTAATTCATTTAAATAATAATAAAAACAGGTGTATCTAAAAAATGTTGTCATACACTTGCCATGGTTTACTTTTATCACTTTGATGTCATTGTAACGATGTCGTCAAAAACTCTCTTAACTTCCTAACTGATAAACTTCCACAGATTATGCATATCGCCATCTTGTTTGACCCTATTTTTCTCTTCTTATGTTCTTTGTCGGCAAGCCACACTGTTCACTTCTTTCTATCCTAAGACACCACAAATTTGTATCGTGAACCAAATTTGACACTGTTAACTTCTTGCCATGGTTTACTTTTATCACTTTGATGTCATTGAAACGATGTCGTCAAACACTCTCTTAGCTTCCTAACTGATAAACTTCCATATATTATGCATATCACCATCTTGTTTGACCCTATTTTTCTCTTCTCATGTCCTTTACCGACAAGCCACACTGTTCACTTCTTTCTATCCTAAGCCACCATAAATTGGTGTCGTGACCCAAATTTAATGGTTTAGAGATTTGTTCCTAAGATAATTGTTTTCCGATAAACTATAAACTGAATTTAAAGTTTCAATTGAGTAATCTTGTATGAGTTTTTTTTAATTGAAGCAATTTTATGCTCAACAAATTGTTTTTGATTTGATGATTCTATCTTGTCATGCATGTATGGTGTTGTTGTTGTATGGAATTTGAGTAAAGTGGTGAAGAGGAGTTCTTATAAAGGCTAATCATGTGCTATTTGTAAGTGAGTAATTTGGTCTTAATTGTTAGTATCCAATGAAAGTTTGTAATCAACACACTTGTAATGGAAAGTCTTTTTATTTGTGTACTGCTTTTTATGCTTGTCTTGACATGAAATTTAATGTGTTAATGCTGGTGCTTTGATCCTAATATAGGTTATTTATTTTGTATAGATTGATTTCAAGTTCAAGAAAATTGAAGGATTTAAGTGTTGGTTGTAGATTTGGTTATTTATTATTTTGACAGAAAAAGACATTTATGTGGATTTATTCTTTTACAGAAAAAGACATACATGTTATGGATTCATTCTTAGACATAAAAAGAGTTCACAACATAGAAAACATGCATTGAGAGTGACTGCTATGGAGAATTGGAAGCTTTTTCATACACAAATGACAAATTAGTTCAATGCATTTAGGATATTTTGAAGATAATTTTTTTTTGTAAAATAGTTAGGGACATAATGTATTATCAAGTTACATGTATTACAATTTATTTTTATTTCATCTTGTAAGTCATTGTTCCTTTTACTATAAAAGTTGTTTCTTCTTTTATCAAATACATTCATGGGACACATAAGATAAGTAAGTTGTACAATAGAATTCAGTCACTGAAACAAAATAATTTACATAAAATTATATACATATATATTATGGCTAAGAGGTATAAAAAAATTAACCTAAGTTTTTGCATATTGATGGCTTAAAGGTACCTTTATAAGACAAGGTACACAAAACAAAACTCATATCATCATCAACAAAACTTCTCTGCCAACACAGAAAAACCAAAAAGTATTTATGTTCAAAGTTTCATTGAAGATAATCTATCATAAGCTTATGCTAAACTGTGAGGATCCCATGAAATATACATCTGATGTTGTTAAAAGATCTATGAATGAGATATTACTTCCAACCTGTGCAAGATCATCAACATGAATTCAAATTCAAATTTAACTCATTACATAAGAAACTAAAAGTTCAACAAAACTTAGCACAATCTTATCATTAACACACACCATAGTTCTTGTATCCAAAATTTCTCCACCAGTCACAATATCATCAGGCGAGTCTACACATAAGTTGGTTTTAGTTTGATTGTCCACCCTTTCCATATTGAATTCCTACATAATTGAAAAAAAAACAAATCAAATAACAACCTTTACAAAGGAAACAACATAATATCTATTTGGTTAATACTTAATACATAATTTATGAAAATAAACACGTGCTTTAATTGTCAGTTTGTCACCTTTTTTATTGTTTCGCTTCCTACATTTTGCACTGCTTTTTCAACAACAAATATTTTTCTCTTTGCTGGAGGGTGAACTTTGCATGTGACTTTCAACAGACTATAAATTTTAGTAATCACATTTTCATCCCTCCTAACAATATTACTTGGATTTGAGTCATTGTTGGAAATTTTATTAACATTGTTACTTGTAGAACCCAAGCATATCAAGTTAGATTTAAATTCATGAAGTCTTTCATGGAGAGCCGTAGTTGTGTCTTTAAACTTTGCAGCCACTTCCACAACCTCGTAAAAATGCTTATATAAGTTATGAAATCGGTCTATTTGTGGCTTCAATTCCTTCACATTATAGCTACTCTTAATATATTAATGCTTCCTTTTAATATTTTTGCTCCATCTTACTAAAACATACTTTTCCGGCACTTTTTTAACCCTTTCTTGAGTACACACACATAGAATATGACAACACAAAATACATCTAAACTCAAACAGCAAGCATTAACATTGAACATCAAGATTTTCTCGATCAAAATAAACTTTAACAATACAGTCTTTTGTTCTATCTCCAACTAACATCTCCTCCAACACTTGGTAAGTAACAAGGTTACCCTCCAAAATCTTTAAAGAAGGAACACAATTCATTTTAGCTTTGAATTCAGCTTGAACCTCCTTAAACTTAGCATGAGTGTATTCCTCTTGAAATTGCTTTTTGATTGACGAGTTTGACCCACAAGGAATTATTGTATCCATTGATTAAAAATCAGCTTCAAATTCTTTTTCTGCTCTACTTATGAGAGCATTATCATACTGCTTTACAAATTAACGCAGATTGGTCATAGAATTAATATAGCTAGCAAAGAAAGCATGTATGCTCTCACCTCATTGTGTTATAGACATACCAACCCAAAAATGTTTCTTCAACAATATTGGGATCCATCTATGATGCTCTTTGTACAACCCATTTAACCAATCATTATTTTCAAGCCCAAATTTGTTGACAAAAGAACACAATTTTTCTTCAAATTGAGTTAGTTTGATTCTATCATAAACAACTTCTTTCATGGCATATTTAATATTTTTATATTCACCATATCTACTTAGCTTTTCAGGGATTTTTTTTCATTATATGCCATAAACACCACCTATGAGTTGTAGTAGGAAATACTAACTCAATGGCATTTTGCATAACCTTACATTGGTCAGTGACAATACCTGTAGGCGCCTTTCCTTGCATATAACAAAACCATGTTTGAAAAAGTCACACAAATGGCTTTGTGTCTTCAACTGAAAGCAAACCACATCCAAGTAAAGTTGATTGACCATGGTGATTCACGCTAACAAATGCAGCAAAAGGCATGTCATATTTATTGGTTAAATATGTTGTATCAAAAGTAGGGGTGGCAAACGGGCATGCCCGCTCTGTGAAAACTCACAAAAAACGGGGTAGGCATAGTTGAGGATGAGGGCCTAAAATCTAAGTCCGCCCCCCAAAAATGTGAGTGCAGGGCGGGGAAAGCCCACGGGCACTGCACCTTTTAGGCCTAAAAATGCAAAATTTTATGTTAATAATCATGCCCGCAAAAGCCCGCGAAGAAAATGGGACGGGGCGGGGTGATCACATTAGAGGGTGAGGGCCTAAACTCTTGGCCCGCCCCGCACTTTAGTGTGGGTAAAACGGACATGCCCAACGGGCCAGACTCGTTTTGTCACCCCTAATTAAAAGTGACAACATCTCCAAAGGATTCATGTGTAACTCTACTTCTTGCATTAACCCAAAACACATTTTGTACATGAAAATCATTATTTAAATCCATATCATAGAATAAATTTGTGTTTTGCTCTCTCATTTGACAAAAGTAGGTTACCAACGCTTTGTCGTCGCCACCTTTACCAATGATACACCTTTCCTTGTTAACATAATTCCTAACAACTCTTTCACAAAATGCTACATTTTCATAACCTCCAGCATCTCTAACAAGAGTTTGAAAAGTCTTGTTGATCATCACTCCTGCATCATCATTGATTTTGATTGTTCTTTTTTACATGCATGTTCATACTTTTGTTTGCCTTGAATAACCTTGACTTAGTGGGGCTTATTGCGTGAGTGTGGTTAGGTTCAAATTTTTAATATACCACAATCCATCTTTTGCCAACTTAGTAGTAATCTTTGCAGGACAATTTTTTATTTTAGTTGGAAGTGTCTTCAATGTACAAGGTATTTCTGACACACGATATCATTCTCTTGTGCATAATAGAATTGCATAATGTATCTCCCCATCTCCCCTTTCTTTGATGATCTAACTTTCCATCCAAAATCCTTTATAGAAGCATATTTTTCATAAAATGATTTAACTTCATCTATAGAAGAAAAAGGCATTCCTGTTACAGACTCCCAATTTACAAGCTCACCATTAAAGCTATCAATTTCATTAGCTTTACTATCCAAATTGTTTGAACAATCCATAAACTTTTAATCATTGATATCACGTCAAATCTGCAAAAAAAAAAAAAAATATTTCAATTAAATCATTCATGAAATTATATTTATCTACAAATGAAATAATGAGTAAATAATATTAAAGAAACGCCTTCTCATAATAATAACAATAACAATATTCTTTAAAACAAATATGGGTCAATGAATATTTTCAACCAAATGTTATAATCAAAAGAAATATCTGAATAATATCTCTCAATATTTTTTAAAAATCATAATAGTAGAGCAAATATAAGGATCCATACTATACTCACCTCTTGGAATCAAGTTAGAATGAAACTTGTTAATTCACACCAATAAAAATTCTACACTCTGTGAAAATTTAAAAAAAAAAGGTTTGTGAGAGCTAAAGACACATGATAAAAATAAATGATTTTTTAAGATTGCGAGTTAGATTAAAGAGAAGATGATGATTGTTGAGAAAGAGAAAAATAAATAGTGGAACGGAAGAAACACTGTAAAAAAGAAAATGAGTAATATGTATAGAAAAAAAAAATGAAATTAAAAAACAAAAACAAAAAAATAAATATATTATATTATAATATATAACACATATATATATATATATATATATATATATATATATATATATATATATATATATATATATATATATATATATATATATATATATATATATATATATATATATATATATATATATATATATATATATATATATATATATATATATATATATATATATATATATATATATATATATATATATATATATATATATATATATATATATATATATATACGTCAGGGTCGGCCCTAGGTGTAGGCCACTAAGACTACTGTCTAGGATCTTAAATTTTTGTTTTATTTATATAATTTTTAATCTTTTGATTTCTCTTTTAAAATAAAATTTAAATTATTTGATATAGTACAATTTAAATTTGACACTTATCTAAAATATATAACAATAACAACAATTTACCATATATATTCACCTATAGATAAGAAATTTTTGATTTCTTTAATATAATAAGAGACTTTATTTGTAAGTAGTTCTTTTAGAATATTGCTTTTTAATTATGATTGTATTAAATAATGAGAAGAATTTTTAGATGAGTTAATTTTGTTATTAAAATATCAAATAAAATTGATTATAATAATTTTATGCTTTTGTAATCTAAAAAATCCAAAATATATTAATTTTAAAAAAATATTTTATATTAAAATATTTAATTTTAAATTTCGTCTCGAGCCTCGAGATATATTAAGCCGGTCTTATATTTGGTGTTTCTAAAATTATTCAAAAAAAAGATATTAAAATATTATTGTTGATTAATAAAAAGTTATTTCAGAATACTTACTTTTACATAGAAGCGATATTTTAAAAATATATATAATGAAAATAAATAAAAAAACCTTTAAAATTTCTATAAATCTAAAATGAAAATGAGACAAAAAGTGTAATAAATATTTTGTGAGTGTGCCTAACAAATTTATATTTGATGCTGTGATAAGAATATCCCAAAAAGAAAAGGTCGTTAATGAAAATGAGACAAAACAAAGAAACTGTAACGTATATAGAATTTCGCATTAACTGTAGTGAATGACCACACACTGACTGAGCTGGAACATGTCGGTGGTTTTGTTTTCTAGTCTTGGATCATGTGCATTATTTTTTTATGCAGTTATCATTTTCGTACGGGATAATAACAACTTCATGATGAAGTATTTGGCAAAGTAAAACACATTTTTTATTTTTAGTAGATAAATAAGATTAGATTAAAAAAGATAAGTAAGCAGATGTAGGATACTGTTATTTGGTTGTAATTATCCCAGAGTTTATGAGTTCATCATGCTTTGAAGTTTATCTTGGCAAATAATTTTGTCAAAAAAAGTAAGTAAAATGGTAATGCTGTTTTTTGTGTGGAAATGAAAGCAATGTCATTCACTCAAAATAATATGCACAAATCTTTATCTTAGATATAATGACGTTAGGTTTCTTTCCTTATCACACAACACTTTCAATTTTTGTTGACAGGCTACATCATTCAATTTATGCAGTATAAAAAGGGATATGCAAATTATAAAATTATAAAATAAATATAGCATTTTGCATATGAAACTTCATTTTCATAAAGTGACACCCAACCCAAACTCATATCTCAAAAGATTTCACAATCTCGCTATAAGTCTATTTTTAGATTAGTTTCAATAAATTCATAGATGCTTAAATATATAGCAAATACCAAACTTATTTCCTCATAACATGATTAACAATATATAGCAAATATCAAACTTATTTTCTCACAATTGAATGCATAAATTTATAAAATTTGTTGTTATATCATCTACAGACAAATAAAAATTACTGTATTATTATAGTTATGACATTAATTATACTATTTTATATTTTATAAAGACGAAATTTGAACTCAATTGTTTGAAGTTTTATGAAATTTGAACTCAGTTATTTGAAGTTACAAAATCAAAATTTTAAGAGCTTATATATATAGTAGTGAAAATAAATTAGTTAGTTCTATCAAAATATTTAATGTCTGTGTCTAAAAGAAATCTTGTATGATAGGTTGATCGGTTTCATTTAAAATAAATGAATAATTAATACTATTTTATCGTTTTACTTTGGTATATGTAAAATTTGTTTTACTCCTATTCTCTTATGTAATATTTTTTTAAAAATTATTCTCTAAAACGTATAAATTAAATACTAAATCTGTGAAAGGTAAATAAAAAAATTACAGAAATAAATTTTGCACTTAAAAAATAAAAATCATAGTATTTTTATATTTCTAAGAGGTGGTTCAATTTTTTATTTATTTATAAAAGGTAAAACGAATTTCGCCTTAAATAAATGATTTGGTCCATGTTTAGATAAATAAATAAATACTTTTAGTCATTTTTTTTGTTTTATTTATTTATATTATAGAATAAAATTTATTATTATTTGAAAGACAAAATTTAAATATAATTTTATAGGTGTGGTTCTTACTATTTTTCTAATAAAAATATAATAAAAATATAATTTTTTCTTACACATATGTAAATTGCTCATATTTTCACTTATTAAATAATATTTAAATAATTTATTATATTTTTATTAGAAAATAATAAAAATCACACCTAAAAAATTAAAAAATTATAGGTAAGTTTTATCCTTATTTAAATTATACTTTTTAAGAGTAAATCACTAATTTTATTTTATTTAGATTTCCAATCTAACTAATATTCGTAATAATATTTTTAATTACAGAGATATTATGAAAAATTTTAAAATTAATTTACAAAATTTTATTATCACATATTATATTGAATTGAGAGAGATGTTATAATACAACTCTTGTTTTGCACACTTAATAAACCTTAAGTTTTATTTTAATATTTAATACTACATTTTAGAAAATAAAACTTTATTTATAATTGTAATTTATATAAAGATAATTAAATAATTAACTTTATAAAAAAGAATTAAATATGTGAAAAAACTATTCTATTATATTTTAACCATCTAAATTAACCTATTCTTATTTGCATGAGTATAGGCAGTTTGTTTCACATATTATTTAAAATAAATTTTATAATATTACATATTTGAATAAAAATATATATAATTTAAATTAATTTTTATAAAATATTATTTTATACATATTTTTATTTTTTTTATAACTTCTTTGAATATCAAAATTTTAAAAAATACTCCTATTTAATGTTATTTTGAATATTTTTTTTTTAAATTGTAGTATAATTTTGACTATATTTTAATCATTTATTAATATGTGTTTATGTCATTGAAATTCAAAATTAGTTTTTTAATTTATAAATTTTAAATATTTTTTAAAAAGTTTTTATAAAATTAATTTTTTTTTGTAAGTATCAAAGAACATAAGGACAATAAATAGTTTTATCTAATATAAATATGCACTTTTTATTTATTATTTCTTAAAATTAATCTTGACTCATCATAGTAGATCTGATTTGAAGCCTTTACGTGCAAACCAAATCATCATTTAACATTTTAGGTTACTTCCAAATTTTCCTTCACTCATGAAATAAAATCCCGATCATACCCTCATTTCAAAATAAACCCATGACGTGGCAAAATCACAGTGGCACAAAACACTAACCGCACTTATATCTAACCGGAGAGAATTATCATCCGTGTTCATCACTCTTATTATATCATCACTCACAAAACTCACAAGCAACAACAAAGATATAGAATTCATTTCCTTCAGATCTATCTATTTTCCCATTTCGATCTCAAACGCTATGGCGTTTTCGAGATCCATCGCATTCTCTGCGTTCCTTCTTCTTCTCCTCATCAACGGTAGCTTCTGTTTCTACCTCCCCGGTGTTGCACCACAAGACTTCCAAAAGGTTCGTTTCGATTTTATCCACATTTCGTTAGTTTTCCGTTGTTTTGTGTTTTTTTTCGTTTATTTCGTCGTTAATGTGGACGAACCGCTCGATCTGTTTGTTCAAATCTGAGATCTGTGATGGTTGCGACTTGTAGTAATTTAATTTTCAAAGAATTTGATGTATTTTTTTTGGATTTTATTGGTGATATTTGTATCACATTGTGATATTGCATTGTGTGTGTGCGCGAGTGATGATTATTGTTTGTTATTTTTGTTAATGTGAGTTTGATCTGGTGGCGGTGAATGAATTTTAGTTAGTACTTTGATGGTGCGAGTGTGACAGTGTATGAATGATTTGATTCGGTTCAGTTATTGTAGTGATGTGAAGGTTTCTTGTGTGGAGGCGGTTAATGGAAATTAAGCTCAATTTGTAATTGGAAATTAGAAATGTTTAGTGTTTGACTGTAGGAAATTTGTATATATTAGGAATATGAATCAGTGTGTGTAGTTTGTTGCATTGTCGCTGAGGTTGATGATACTTGAGGTATTTTAGAGAAGTGATTTGAGTGTTGGTGTAAGAAATTAGAATCTTATACAAAGAGAAAGTCAGTTATTCTATGGTATTTGTTGTATTTTAATCAATTAGCTGCAGTAACATATCAAACTTTTAACAAACGCTATTGTTCCGTGATATGTGCGGTTTAGTATAAGTGGTGTCGAATTGTGGCTAAAAGCCCTATAATGTAGCAGAATATAAGCATACTACTATTTTCCGCTACCTGACCAGATTGATAACACTGCTTTTAACAAAAGCAGAGTCAAATTTTTAGCCACGGTTTGTTGCATTTGCATCTTTGTTAGAGATTTTTGGTAACTGGATTTTGAAACCTAGATGAAAGCAGTGTTCCCTGACAGATGAGTTCTAGGTTTTCCTTTAAGACTAGGATGGAATCTGGATTCCCTGCAGTTGCCTAAATCCTTCAGCCATCACGTTGGTGAACATTGGATCAAGATCAGACGGTGCAGATTTTAATGGTGGGATTTTAGTTTATAAATAAAATGAAAGATTTTCTTGAAGTTTGCGTTGTCCGTTCTGGATCCGACGGTCACTGATGTGGTGACTGTATGAATGCAAGATTTTGGCGACGACGTGGAATCCGGTTTCGTGTATTTGGGTGAACATTTTGGTAAATTTGCATTTGAATGAATAAGATTGACACTGCGAAATTGATTTGGTGAGGATTGATTTTAAAGTGAAGTGATTTATGTTTGTATGTTTTTACTCTCAATGCTAGTTTGATGTAAAAGTTAAGTATAATAATATTTTCAACCCAATGAAAAACTACTTTTATCATTTCTAGTCATAGCAAGGTCTTAAAGCTAAGTCAAATTTACTAGAAAGTACCAGAAGACTTGTATTTTCACTAAAATCACGTTTGACACAAGGCAAAATAATTTCTCATCATCTTCACCATGAGAAATCAAACACACTAGTTGGCAAATTTTTTGGTTATTTTTATTTGTATTCTACATTTTATATCATACTTCGAAAGTTACCAGTACTTTGATACCTTGTATACTCTGATGTGGTGTTAACCACCTACAAATGTATGATCCATTGGGTCATTGCAAATAGTATCACGTAAAGACTCTGGGTCTTCATTTATCTCTGTAGTTTCATTTCCTACTTTAATTTCCATTTTTCCTGTATTCAAATCTTAATTAGTAATGCTTCATCAATATTTAGAATTTTTACATACATCTACTTCTAGACTGACTTGTCTAATATTACACGGTGCAGGGAGATGCATTGCAAGTGAAAGTAAACAAATTAAGTTCAACAAAGACCCAACTTCCATACACTTATTATTCACTTCCTTATTGCACCCCAAAAAAAATTGTGGACAGTGCTGAAAATCTCGGAGAAGTGCTTCGTGGTGACCGCATTGAAAATTCACGTTATGTGGTATGTGTTGTATGATGTGTTAAACGTTGGCTGGATAATCGTGTTGTGGTTTTGAACTGATTTACCCCATGACATATTCGCAGTTTAAAATGCGTGAACCAAAAATGTGCAATATTGTGTGTAAGCTTGTACTTGACGCCAAAACAGCAAAAGCATTCAAAGAGAAGATAGATGATGAGTATCGGGTGAACATGTAAGGCGTGCCAGTAACTGTCTTATATTTATGTGCCTGTTTTCTGCCACAATATCAATATAGGGTATCTTACAGTGGCTCTACCTTTACATGCAGGATTCTAGATAACCTTCCTCTGGTTGTTCCCATAAAACGCGTGGATCAGGACTCTACTGTTTATCAGCTTGGTTTCCATGTTGGACTCAAAGGGCAATATAGTGGGGTATGCTCATTATTCTAAGAATCAATGTCTGTTGTTGTGGATGACAACTATTTTTTTTTTTTTTACTTACTATGTTGAAATACACAGAGCAAGGAAGAGAAGTTTTTTATACACAACCATTTGGCATTTACTGTCAGATATCATAGAGATTTGCTCACTGAATCTGCTAGAATTGTCGGCTTTGAGGTTAAGCCATTCAGGTAAGTTTGTGATTGTTTTATTCTATGAATTCATTCTTTCAAACCAGTTGTGTTATGCATGCCTTAGTGATTTTTGAAATCTGAATGTTGTTTTACAGTGTCAAACATGAATATGAAGGGAAATGGGAGGAAAAAACTCGTCTAACAACCTGTGACCCTCATGCTAAACATACAGTTGTTAACTCCAATACTCCTCAAGAAGTTGAAGAGGGCAAGGAAATTTTCTTCACGTACGATGTTGAATTCCAGGTGAGATCATCTTAAAAAAATGATGCTTGTACGCTCGCCACTTTGAGTGCCTATTGACTTACATTAGCCAAGTAGTAATATACATGGTTTGTGCGGAGGAATTCATTCAATACATGAAGTTCCTCTTGTATTATTCTTCTTGTATAATTTATCTTTATAAAATGGTGCTTTTGAACTTGCCACTTTTGATTGCCTATTGGCTTACATTAGTCAAGTTGTTAAATATATGGCTTGTGTGGATAAATTAATTTACTTTAAATAGATTAAATTCCTCTTGTTTATTCTTTTAACTATTTTTGGCTTTTCATAAATAAATTTATGTTTTCCCCCTTGCATCCAAGTAGAGTGCTGTTTTTCCTCCTCTTCCTCCTTCCTTTCTTATTATTAGTTCAGTGAAAGATGATGACAGATTTTATTTTGTATAACCATTTACCTTTGCCTACATTCAGGAGAGTGATGTGAAGTGGGCTTCAAGATGGGACGCCTATTTGCTGATGAGTGACGATCAAATTCACTGGTTCTCAATTGTGAACTCATTGATGATTGTTCTTTTTCTCTCGGGTATGGTGGCAATGATAATGCTGCGTACACTTTATCGCGATATTTCCAAGTACAACGAGCTTGAGACCCAAGAAGAAGCACAAGAAGAGACTGGTTGGAAGCTTGTCCATGGTGATGTTTTCAGGCCACCAAACAACTCAGATCTGCTGTGTGTTTATGTTGGTACTGGTGTTCAGTTTTTTGGGATGATACTAGTAACAATGCTCTTTGCTGTCCTTGGATTCCTTTCTCCTTCAAACAGAGGTGGGCTAATGACAGTCATGCTTTTGCTATGGGTTTTCATGGGGCTTTTGGCTGGTTATGCATCAGCCCGCTTGTACAAAATGTTCAAAGGATCAGAGTGGAAGAAAATTTCCCTCAGGACTGCAGTCATGTTCCCTGCTTCTGTCTCTGCTATCTTCTTTGTATTGAATGGTCTTATATGGGGGCAAAAATCGTCTGGAGCTGTGCCGTTTGGAACAATGTTTGCTTTGATCTTTTTATGGTTTGGAATCTCAGTTCCACTTGTTTTTGTTGGTGGCTATATTGGGTTCAGGAAACCTGCAATTGAGAATCCCGTGAAGACAAACAAAATCCCAAGGCAGATCCCTGAACAGGCGTGGTACATGAACCCGGCCTTCTCAGTTTTGATAGGAGGAATACTCCCATTTGGAGCTGTTTTCATTGAGCTTTTCTTCATCCTCACATCAATCTGGTTGAATCAGTTTTACTACATCTTCGGCTTCCTCTTTTTGGTCTTCATCATCCTAGTTATCACTTGCGCCGAAATAACAGTTGTGCTTTGCTATTTCCAGTTGTGCAGTGAGGATTACTTGTGGTGGTGGCGCTCTTACCTCACATCGGGCTCTTCTGCACTGTACCTCTTTCTGTATGCAACATTCTACTTCTTCACCAAGCTTGAAATCACAAAGTTGGTATCTGCGATATTATACTTTGGTTACATGCTTATAGCTTCTTATGCCTTTTTTGTTGTAACCGGTACCATCGGATTTTATGCATGCTTTTGGTTCACAAGGCTCATTTACTCATCAGTTAAAATTGATTAGTCACACTCATAACAGTCAGTGGTCTGGAGTACCTACTATACTTCCTAAAGGATGAGGAAAATGTGTGCAAGAATTTTGAAATTCAGGTATCCTGTTCAGAATCAGATGTAACCTATTCAATAGAATTTTGAATTGTGACGACACCGTTATTCTTTCGTTTCAATATATCTTATACTTGCCAGAGTTATCAAGTACAGATAAGATACAATGCACTTTGTTTTCTGTTATTTCTTGTAGACTTACAAATGGGTTACGCGTTAGATGATTTTTCATTTTTAAGTCTTTCTGAATTGAAGAGAATATTTAGTATGTTGAGAATTTTTTGTAAGATGATTTAATATTTTTAAATACTGAACATTGAATGTGCCTTTTATTTATTTGCATCAGCAGTGATCTCATAATGGTTAACCAAAACTCTTGAACGAGCAAAACAAAACAAAAAGGTTATTCTTTTCCTAGGGTGTCTGCTCAAGTATTGTTATTATTGTGAAGCACACGAATTGTGGTTAGATAAAAAATAATGATCGATTGAGACACATAATTTTGTTATGAACATTATCACATGACCAAAGATTCACGATCCTTCTTCCTTAGGAGCGTAGAAGACACAAAGATTCACTATCTTTCTTCCCTTTCCTTTTTAGACTCTTCATCCTCACAATGATTGTTGATGTGATATTTTTATCAGCAGAAGACTTAAACTATGTTTTCCGGTGTGTGCTATTGATGACGGGTAACAATTTATGCAAACAATTTTCACAACTTTAATTGAAAAGACTTATAGTTGTAAGATTAAAAAATGTCTAGCCAAACAAGGTTCTTTTCATTTAATTTAATTTTTCGTGTCAATTTCATCATAGACACGACCACCAAACTTTCTGTTGTCCTTTCCCTCAATTTGTGAAACGAATCATTTATTAGTTTTAACGTAAAGCATATGCAAACAAAATATCTAGTTTAAAAACTGTTTGGAGTGACTCGACAAAATAAAGCATCGGACGTTTTTACATACAAATTTTGTGCTCTTTGCCTTTCTTTTCCGTTTTTTATTTTATTAAAATAACTATGCTCTTACACACACTCACACATCAAACTGCAGATCCACATCCACTTTGGATCCCATTGATAACGGTTCTGTTATTGCTCGTTATGACTTTGAAAATCCAATCAACCAAGCCAAGGACGAAGGTGAGGAAGATTGTGAAGTACCAGGAGAGCTTGCCAGATTGTTACAACAGGAGGAAATGGCAATACAGCCTTATGAGGAATCTGTTGAGACAATGAATTTGGGTGTTGAAAAGGACAGAAAAGAAGTCAAGGTAGGTGTTAACTTGGAGTCCAGTGTCAAACAACGGTTAATACAGATGCTACATGACTATGTTGAGGTTTTTGCCTGGTCCTACGAAGACATGCCATGGCTTGACACCGATATTGTGGTTCATCGCCTACCGACGAAAGAGGATTTCCCTCCAGTGAAACAAATGGTTCGTCGTTTGTGGCCGGATATGTCAGAAAAGGTCAAGGCTGAAGTCATGAAACAATTCAATGCCAGTTTCTTAGCTGTCACGTCTTATCCACAATGGGTCGCCAATGTTGTTCCAGTGTCTAAGAAGGATAATAAGGTACGTATGTGTGTGGATTATAGAGACCTGGACAAGGCAAGCCCCAAGGATGACTTTCCGCTTTCCCACATTGATGTTCTGGTTGACAACACCACACAACATAAGGTATTCTCCTTCATGGGTGGTTTCTCCAGATACAATCTGATCAAAATGGCACCTGAGGACATGGAGAAGATGACTTTTGTCACACAGTGGGGCACTTTCTGCTACAAAGTTATGCCATTTGGGCTAAAGAACATCGGGGCAACCTATCAGCACACCATGGTAGCTTTGTTTCATGATATGATCCATCACGAGATAGAGGTCTACGTTGATGACATGATAGCCAGGTCTCAGACTGAAGAAGAGCACCTTGATCACCTACAAAAGTTATTTGACAGGCTGAAGAAATACAAACTAAGGCTGAACCCGAATAAGTGCACTTTTGGAGTAAGACCTGGTAAGCTCTTAGGCTTTGTTGTCAGCGATAAAGGCATTGAAGTGGATCCTGCAAAGGTCAAAGCTATACAAGAAATGTCGACTCCTCGCACTGAGAAGGAAGTTAGGGATTCTTGGGACGCCTAAACTATATTGGCAGATTCATTTCACATCTGACCGCTACTTGTGAGCCAATATTCAAGTTACTGAAGAAAGATCAAGCAGTGAAGCGGAATGATGATTTCCAGTATGCCTTTGACAAAATCAAGGAATACCTTCGAGAGCCTCTTATTCTGATGCCTCCAGTTGAAGGAAGACCTTTGATAATGTACTTAACAGTGTTAGATAATTCAATGGGGTGTGTGCTGGGGCAGCATGACGAGTCTAATCGAAAGGAGTATGTGTTATACCCCAAAATTTGCCCTCCCATATTCTTCAAGAAATTGCCAAGCCAAGTCACAAAATTCCCCAAGGGTTGTGCAGTGCAACAGTCTCCCATACAGTCAAAATTAGGGTTTTGAGTCTGATCAAGAAAATGAAGTTTTCAAAGGCTCAATCAAGCCTCATATGCTTACAAACATGGTCAAGCATCCTCATATCAAGTTTCAAGGCATTCAGCTCAAAATTGCACAGTCAAAACCCTAAATTGCACTACAGTCAACTGTAGGGGCAAAATGGTCATTTGACAGTCAAAAGTTCAAATTTTTGGTCAACATATCATTTTGAAGCCACAAACATCATTTGATCAATGCTTGATCATGATTCTCAAAATTTGGCTCAGAAATCATCAAAGATGCAAAAGTTGCTATATTTGGACAGCTGAAAAAGTCAACTGAAATTGACCAGGGCATAACTTTCACATGGATTATCAGAAAAATTCCATCCAAAGCTCATTTTGAAGAGAAAGACATTTCCTACAACTCATCTTCATACTTCAAGTCCAAGAAATGCTCTCACAAAAAGTTATCAATTTCAACATTATAGGTCATTTTTAAAAGTCAACAAAAAGGGACTTTAAGTCAAAGGCCATAACTTGATATTGGTAAATCAAAATGACATGGGACCAAAGGCATTGGTTAAAGGACTCAAAGACCTTTCCAAAATGTCCAAGAACATGTGAAAAGCTTAAAAATTGAGCAAGTTGTGCCTTGTAGAAGTTGGGAAATTTTTGTGAAATGGCAAAAGTCAACTATCCTTGAAAATCCAATTTTTGACAAAAGGGCCCCATTTTTTCCACTTGGTTCATCCTTGTCATGCCACACACGTGTCCCATGGTTAATTTCAAGACCAAATATTGATTTTTCCATTTTATTTAATTTTTAATAATTTAATTCATTTTAAATCTTTGAAAATTCAAATAAAATTCAAAAACCAATGGAATAGTGTCATGTGAACTTGGACAATTTCTATGTATCATGAACCAACTCAAGAAATCAGGCTAGGGTTCATTTGCACACTAGGTCTAGGTTTTGGCTAAAAAGGAGGAAAATGGTTAAGAGTGAAAACCCTAAGACTAATTCCTTCATGAGCTTGAATCTAGGTCAAAGAGTAAGCCAATTCCATTCCATTATGATCACTAAGTCAAACCCTAACCATAGGAGACCATATGCTGCGCTGAAGAGCCATTGGACAATTTGAAAATTTAGCCATATAAGCCAAATCTGAAATCAAGGTTAGGGAAAGTTTTAGGCCTTAATTCTTTTTCCAACAGCATCCTGAACAAATTCTGAACGCATCCCAATTCATAACATCAATCAAAACTCCTTGAACTGGTATCCATGAGTAAAACTGTACCTCCAAAATTCTGAAATCATATAACACGATTCAAGCATATTTTTGCATTTTTGTTTAGGTATTCATACTCATGATGATGTTTCTGAGCTAACCCTTGCGTTTGATTTCATTTTTGTGCCATGTATAAGAACTTGCCATGCGAGAATTCTAGGGTTACAGTTTTCTCGAATTGGGGCTTTGGCATAAGGGAAAAATTAGGACTTAGCAGTACTACCATTGCATCCAGCACACCAAGACGAAGGGATTGACCTACTCGCGATGAATTTATATAAGCCATAGCGCTAGTCGCTATTTTCTGGTAGCTAGCCTAATGCTACGCTTCAAAAACCGTTGCCTTCTTTCTTTGTGTTTCAGGAAAACGAAAGAGATGATGGCGTGGCACAAGTGGATTGGAGGAATTTGAATTAGCGCGCGTTTTAAAGAGCATTGATGTTTTCTTTTTATAATATTTATTTACTATTATATATTAATTGAAAGTGAAGTGGTTCAGTGGCAGAGGGAAGCGCTTGCAATGCTTATGACCTGGGTTCGAGTCCCAGGTCTGGAAAATTTCCATATTATTTTTCTCTTAATAATTACGTGCAGACATAACATTCAGGCTCACCATATTCCATCAGAATTCAACCTCCACGTGTCCCAGGGCATCAGATCCATGGCCAATGTTCAAGATGCATCATACATCAAGTCAACTGCATCACATATGATTAGAAAAGTCAACCAATTCAAGCAAATGGGCCAGGCTTTTCAAATCAACACCTCCACAATGGGGCTACACCCCACCCTGGTTTGCCCATTTAATTTATTTTGCTTATATTTTCATTATTTTTAATTGCTATGTTATTTTAATTATTTGTTTTATTTAATTTTTAACCAAAATGCAAAAACATCACAAAAATCAGAAAAGTCAAAAAATTAATAATTATCTTATTTTAAATATTTTTTTTTTTGTATAAATAATAACATGTAAATATTTAGTTTTAATTAGGTTTTCAATTTTAATCCTTTTTAATAAAAATCCAAAAAATAGAATTTAGGTTTAATAACTTTTTATTTTCTTTTTTAATTTTCCCTTTTTTTTTTTCAGAATAATAATGTTATTTATTTATTTTCATAAATCAAAAATTGTACATAAATTAATTTAGAATTAAATTAGGTTAGAAATTAAAT